GGAATCCCCCCAAGTCAATGAATGACACTGCAAGACAGCACCAGGCAGCACAACAATGTTATGAAGACATGACGAGGCGAGAGAAGAAGCCACTGGAGGGGAAAGCAAGCATAGAAAAGAAGATAAGCTTGTTGAATTTCCACAAAACCCTCATAGACAGGACTTTGGCCGGTGAAAATTTGAGGTAAATATTTAGAAGAGGCGCTAGAGGTAAATATTTAGAAGAGGCCAAGAAGTGTATGAGGGAGATGAATCTCATACTTGCTCTTAAGCGTGACTGTCACGAAGCGTTAAGCATTATTTATAGACCGTGTGAGAGTCTACGAAAGTAAAATAAAAAGTTATGAGACTCTACGCGCATTCAAAATACAAAACGCCAGAATCGAGCTGTTCAGAAGACGCTTGTATAAAAGTCTGACCGAAGAACGGCCCGTTAGCCACAATTTAAGGACTGAGGAAATCAAGGATTTTTGGGGTACGATCTGGAACTTCGGAATGGGAAAGTATGGTGATATCCAGCACAACGAGTAATGGAAGAATTCGTTCCAGATGATGAAGTGCATCATACTTTTCCCTCTGAAGCCGAATTTCGAAGATAGTTTTCTATTTGCCTAATTGGAAAGCAGCAAAGCCTGGTGGAGTATAACTTCTTTATTAAGAAGTGTACCTCTTTGCATCCAGACCTGTACAAAATAGTAAGAAGGACTTGTCTGGATAGGTAGGTACAAGATTTGTGGTTCTATAAAGATACTACCTACCTGATTCCGAAGGTGTTCAAAGTAAAGGCAACGACTCTAGGACAATAACTTGTATGTCGAACCTGTACAAGTTGACAACGAAATGTGTTGCTCGCGTCATGCAGTTAGATGTTGCCATAAGAAAGCTGCTTGCAAACAATCAATTAGGAATTGTTACTCAGGTTAAGGTTCGAAAGAACAGGTACTATTCAACCTGGCGGCTTGCAAAGAGGACGAGAACCAGCTTTTCACTACGTGGTATGACATCAT